CATCTTGAATGATTTACAATTCAAATTCATTGAAATTGTAGTACAAAACTAAAATGATAAAATTTCAAATATTTTAATAATTAACGTTCTAAAATTTCAATCACACACTCAAATTCATCATTTAAAGCACAAATTTTACATCCCACATCTGCCACAAAATACATTCAAAAATGATGTTATTCAATAAGATTCATAAAATTTTATTGTCATTGCAATATAAGATTCCTATCCAACGTTTTTGTATCGTCAAAATCAAAAATTATATTTTATTGCTCTTTCTACATGTAGATAAAAGATTTCTGTCAAATTTTTAATACTATCAGATATCATTACTCAAACATGAATTTGATGATATTAGATTCTCAAGAATCAAGTTTTATCAGAACACTTAATTCAAAGTTATGAAAATAAGTTTGTTACCATCATAGCACTAGAATTTAATCAATAGTTTACTCAAAGATGAAACACAAACTCTAAAATGAGAGAAATTTTGATTTGTTTGACTACTTTTTGATAGATCTTTTTGATATTTACAAGAAAACAAAATCTTGTTCATATCATCAAATTTATTTCTACTAGATTGATGAAATGGCTAACAAACACATGAACATATAATGTAAATCTAACAAGCACATGGATTGATTACATGTTGTTGTCAACTAGCACATTTATACTTTACCATCAAGCAGACGTATTTTTGATATGATGACTATAGATAGTACATTCTGATGCAATTCTATCTCCATCTTAAATAATCTTTTTTTTTAATTTTAGCTAATAAAAAATGACTATAGCAGCAAAAAATGCTAGAATCTAACTCGTTTGAGCACTTGCTGCAGAAATTAGTTTGATAATGGATTAGATGAGTGAAATTGTAGTATTTCACTATAAATCTACATGAAAAAATCAATAGATTTTTAAAAAAATCTCAAAAAAATCTAGTTTATGGATGATTTAAAATCAATATATAGATTAAAACAAGCTTGTAGATAGTAGTATGCAAACTTTGATGAGTTCAATAAAGCACAAGGATATTTAACTATTTTGTATGATACATATGTATATGTGTAGATTTTGTAAAATAAAATCTTCAATCTCCTTATTTTAGGTGAATAACATTGTCATTTTAACAAAAAATTATTGCAATGTAAACAGATGTAACAATCAATTGGAGTTTACATTTAATATGAAAGATTTGAGTAAGTAAAAAATTATATTAATGATGAGCGTTCATAACTATTTCAAAAAAATAAAACATTATTGTCTCAAGTCAAGTACATTTAATGTGTTTTTGAGAATAGACTTTTAATAAGTATGAATACTTTGATATTGCAATTTCAACTATTTGCAACTCAATAATAAATCTATGTTATTGAGAAAAAAATATATAATCAATTTGCTTTGACAAACTTTACACAGTCTTATGTCTCTATTGATATGCAATAAACTTTATTTTATTTTAGCTATATAAAAGATGAACATATACATGTCAAATAAATAAAAGTTACATTGAAAATTATTGTAATGAATTTTCATGTATTTTACAAGTACAAATAATTAATCTTTATTTTTATTGGCTTAATGACATTGTCAAATCCTTGTTGACTATCAATAAAATCTAAACAAGAAGAAAACTATAACTGTGATTACATGTGATGATAGGAAGCATTAGTTGAATAACTATTTTGCAAGACTGTATAGTTTTTTGCACGATGAAAATTGAATATGTAACAACAACAAAAATAAAAATTAATTGAATACATCAATACTAAGATTGAAATCTACTATTTTCAATCGTCATTGTGAAACTCAAATTGTGTTACTACCTATTGCAATTCAAATGATACAAAGCTGAGTGAAACACATTGTCATTATGTATCATTTTATTAAATATAAATTTTTTAATAATGAAATTAATCAGGATTGAGAGTAAATTTAATCTATCTAATGGGTTGATCAAAAATTAATTTTTTGGAAATTAAAAATAAATAAATTGTATTACTTTGCAAATTTTGCATGAGGAGCACAAGTAAAATTCACTAGCAAATTCTTACCTTTCAATAAATAAATAAATAAATTTATATATACAAATTTTGGATATAGTTTGATTATATTTAGATTTACATAAAGTATATTATATTTTAATTTATTTAATAGATTAATTATATAGATTGAAGAGTTTATTTTGTTCACAACATGAGTTAACGGAAATATTGTTCAAGTTCATTTTTTTAGTTCAATCCTAATTAGGGCTTAGGTTAAATTTTCATTACCAAAAAAGCTTTAGATACTAATCTAGGATTTTTTTAGTAGAAATTATTGTGTTTTTGTGAATATAGCATGAAGTGACAAACCAAATATGTTCATTATTTGAGTGTGTATGTGCTTTTAATTTTTCAACTATTGTTGTGATTTTGCCAAACATTGCTTCTGAAATTATAATTAATGATTTTTTCATTTCTGACATATGTGGAAGGAACATATTGTGTAATCATCTTCTTAAAAGATGTAATTATGGTCAACTTGGGATGATTTATCCATTAAGACAATTTATTGTTGTAATCACAAATCACTAGAGACATACATTGTACCATGAACCTTGATAAAACTAATCTTTTCTATGGTTTTTATTAATAGATCTGACTTTTATGAAATTTATTTACTTTTTGGCTATACCAAAAATTTAGTCTCAGGTATGCATGGAACTCTATCATCTCATAAGTGTTTTACACAAGTAAATAACTTTTGATATGAATGAAGATATATTTTGATTTTATATATGAGTGGGCATTTTTATTATTTGTATCAAAGTTTAATAAATTTCAGATAAAATATTTTTCATAATGTTTCAACTCAATTTAGAGTAAATACTATAGCTACCAATTATGGCTAGAACTTTAAAATGTTTGCTATGTCACACGAGTGTAGATAACTAACATGACATAAAAATTGAACTCTTTTGTATAAAAAATTACAAAGTATTTGTTTGAAGCAGATCAATTTTATCTTGTAAACATCATACACGTGATAACATCTTTTGGGATGATAATAAATATTTTTTTTATACTGAAATTGGAGCTTTCAATAGTCTCCGCCTTTAAACCTGAAAGTTTTGTGCGTACTTTGGAGAAATCACTTTTTAATCATTTGATTTGGTTGCAATGTTGGAAAAACAGACCGGAAAACGCCTAAATGACTTCCAATGCTGCAATATAATAGTGAAGCTGAGAAACACGTATGTTCCTAGCAAAAGGGCTCTAGCGCACAACTCATATGTTATATGTTAGTGAAGCAACTATGAAAAAATGTGTGAGTAACACGGAGCAAATCCTGAAGCAATATCCGTTTGCCTCACACATTTGCTGCCTATTTTTTTGGGATAATAATGCTTACTTAACTGAGGAAAATACATATACGGATGAGTTCTTAAACGTATACTGTACAGTAATAAGCTATAAAGTACAGTGGTAAGAATCCTAAACTCTAAAATTTAGAAATTTATTCTTGAAAAGATGGAATTAGACATGCCAACGTGGCTTAGTACAGTAGTGAGAGAGTGTAAGAAAACTACTTTACTAGACAATTATGTTAACAATTTTAGGCTGCATATATGCACTCTCTAGGTAGAAATTGTATGCGAAAAAATGGCAATGTTGATCTTTCATTCATATTTCTCTATATCATATAAACTAATTTATCAAAGTGTTGCCAAAATATCTGGTGCACTAGTCCCATATTACCTTGGGTTTTCATTCATCAGTTGTAAGATTTCCAGATTTTTCTTTATTAATTGCTGGTCTAAACCGCTTCGAGCGAGGTAATGTAGACTTCTGGACTTCGATCGCCACGGCCAGTCTACTTTCCTCTTATCTTCGTTGACCGGGACCTGCTCTGGGGATGCGAAAGTCTGCTATGTACGCTTCTCCAGTAGTAACCGAGTACTGTGATGGGAATAGTCAACCTGGCCACCTCAAATCGTAGACATGGTCATAAGCCGTTGTGGCCAGTCAACTAAAAGGCGGCTTCGATATTCATGTCTCATCCCTTTAAGTCTCATAACTCCTGCGTTGACAGAGATTTGAATTTGGCTCTTGCAGTGTCTGCTGTGCCCTAAAGGTAGCTTTTTGTAGGACACTGAATCAGCTTATGGGGATGCAGTCTGCTTTAGTACGGCGTAAGAATGCATTTATTGGAAAGTCAATTTTGAAGCGTTGTGTTGAAAGCATCTCTTTCCATAAATGACATATAAATAGGGGAAAAAATTTGATGGAGTCACAGTTTTGAGTATAAGGTTCATAGTTATCAATTAAATTTCACATAAACTATTTTATAGATATGAACAATCACACTCCGAAATAACCGCGAACTTATTCATCCACTGAGAATGAGTCCAGACCTGATACGAAAGTATGGAAGATATATCAAAGCGAAACTAGAGATTTGGGTCCCATTCGATACCGCCAGTCTAAAGCTGAAGTATTCGCCTGTTACAAAGTACAGTAATGCACGCCCTTCAGGAACCAAAAGCACTTTGGCTAAAAGAAACTGGATTGAGATAAAGATTTTACATCACTTTTATAACTTATTCAAATCTTACGATTCTGTCTATAGATATATAAATATAAAGTAATAAATAAATAAACAAACAATCAATGACGAATATTTGTTTGCACTAAAACTGAGTCCAGAGCTGATACAAAAGCATGGACGACATATATCAAAGCAAAACTAAAGATCGGGTCCCCATCGATACGGCCAGTCAGAATCTGAAGTATTCACTCATTACAAGGTCCAATGGAATGCCGTCAAAAACTTGGATAGTAAACAAAAACTGGGTGACATGGCGTTGGCGTTCGTTGACCTTCCTGTTGTCCAGGTTTGCAAGTGTACACAACCGTCATATCGTTATATTCATGACGATTGTGTCTCTTCTGTTCTTGCCTACAACGGTAGGTAGAACTGATAACATCTGTCGGATGTGGGGACCGATGGTCGATCAGGTTGACAGTGTCAGAGACCTACGGTACAGGGCAAGATCATCGTGATTCCAAGCATGACAAAACATGGTGATGATGACACGACGACCTCACGCTCTGTCGTTGCTAGCACATCGAACTACGAAGCTTGTGCATACAACGTCTCCAAGAACGGGTTGTACTCAGAGTCAATGACAGACACACCTCAAAACAATCCATTCTTGAGATGTTCTCGCCTCCAAAAACGATATAATCAGATCTCTCGGGCTCGTCTCGTAGCACAAGTTTCTTATCAGCCAGCGCTGACATGGCTTCCAGCAATTCCCTGTTTTATGCAGTTCTAATTCTGTATGTCTGTGCGTCGGAATCGAAGTCAGCAGAAGCGGTGAGAGATCTACAAACGTAGCATGCTGTTTTGATCAACTGCCTTTCGGGCTCTTGGGCGAGATCTGATGAGCTCATGTTCAGACAATCATTCAAATCCTTATTAGAATAAGTTGATCACCGCCTTGTCGCTAAAGCTTGAGCAGTTTCGAGAGTGAATTTGTGCCTGCTGTCTAGTTCTCGTCATCAGAATGCTTGTGGACAGACCATTTGGAGTAAGTGACAGCGTTGTGCGTCGTGATGCAGTGCGGCGGCTTTCTGAAATATTGCAAAGCACCCTTCAGCCACTCAGGAGGCAAGTTGAGAGCCAGATGCCGGACCAACGCGGGTAACTTTGTGGCGGCTGAGGTGAACCTGGACAACTATTTGAGCAACGTGAATGGAAACTTGGTTCCTGGGACGGGCTACACGAAATCCTGTCAGGGCTTCGGATACTTTCTCGTGGGAGCTTCACAGTTCATCGTCACGGCGAACTGCACGAAATTCGAGGGCGGGCTTAGAACGACCGGCTACAATGTTAACAGCCGGGTCAGTAGCAAAAACGGGGTCATGAAATGGGACACGGGGTCCTGCCGAAGACGGTCACTTCTTCAAGCAGCTGACAGTCTCAGAGAAGAAGGTGTAGCATGAGGAGGTGGAAATTTCGCACGGAGATATTCTGTAGGTTAGTGTCTGTTCTGTGTCATTGAAGACAACGGACAGATGTGGCTCGAAAACATATCCAAGGATCAGACTGCTTTCGTGGCCCCAGCTTTCCTCTTACGATGGAAAGCACTGTAAATACGATATCATTAATCGATCTTAAAACATTCTGAATGAGTTGATGATTCGCTGGTACTCTTGATTTGCCTGACGACGGTATCTCTACACAAATTTATCGTCACTGCGTCGCACTGTCTGAAAAATGGCAACTTGCTGAATAGAGCAATCTACAAATCTTATCCTGGGATATAAGCTTTGTGAGAAACAGATGCGTTTTAATTCTGAATCACTACATTCGGCAACTGCGATGAATTTTATTCCCACCCTTGGACTTCAAACTGGCACCAACTGCATTTTTTGGCAAAAATTTCTTACTATCTCGTAATGCCACGGACTGGCTAAACCTGAAATACAGATTAGTAATCCTGACGAGGAAAACTCGAGGTGCTGCGAAGTGAGCTCCTTCAGCTCAGGTTACGACGTACTTCTCACCACTGCAATCCTAGTTAGTGTCAGAGAACTCGCTCAAGCATTTCATAGATCGTGACGTGACCTGACGTTGGTGACCTAACGCTGAAGTTGATTGATTATGAGATCGAATCCTGTCCGGATTGATTCGGATTGAACGGAGTAACAAAGCAGAGACCAATAATTATGTTACAAACAAAAATCTCCAAGGCGTGTATACATACGAGGTTCAAACAGAGGAGTCGCCTCGGAGTAACAATGATGTGGAAATTTAAGACATTAACATGTTACGGTATGAATACCTCAAGCAACACAGACGTTTGGTTTAAGAACTCTTGATTTAACTTCTACCTCGAGTCTAAACTCGAGGACAATTTCAACTGGATGCAGAACGTATGGATCCATCCCTCAAATTGATGCCTCTACACATCGAAGAAAATGCTGAAGTTGACTCGTAGCATGGACGCCGCATGATGACGGCTGCAATTACATCGTCTGTTTTAACACTTTCGACTTATTCTCACCTACTTCGGTTCCAAGGTGCTTAGATCTGCAGTAAGAAGAGCGGAAGATTTTGATGACATACACCTTCTTTCCACTGTTAACCAGCAAGTGATGGTTCCTTGCAGATGACACGAAAATGTGAATGAGCGTAATTTGAAAGTGACTCTGGTTTGAGCGTGATTCTTCCTGAAGCATTTGCTGCGAGTCTGCCCTTGAGATACCGTCCAGGTAAAAATCACACGCAAATCACAATCACTGTCAAATTGTGCTGCAGGTAGTTGATTTGGAAGTATTTTGTCGTAATCTGGCCACCCTGGGTAGGAATGGAAGTAATCAATTTGCTGGCTGCACTCTTGGACTTGGGGCACAGTCCACTCTTCTTCTGCTGGACGGAAGCGTTGTTCAGGTCTTGCTGCTGTGGGAGTAGTTGATGTGGGGTATGACTTTGCTGCAGTGGGTCGATCCATTTGTGTGGCCCTCCATGGCACCACAGAATGAATCAGTTCCACTTCTTATGTACCATCTCCAAGAAATTTTCGTTGCCATGTGTCGGATCGGTACGAGTCATTGAGTAAATGACGTTCAAAACGTGATCATGACAGACCACGTTAACTTTCATGATCAAAAGAAGAGACTTGAGTTTCAGTCTTTAGTTCAGTTCTCGAAGAGAGAATTTTACGATGGGTTCAATGTTTCCAAGAAACTTACGTACCCAGAATTTTGCAGTCCGATGGATGCCTTCATAGTTTGGGACTGAGAAGAAGAGAAGTTGAGGTTAGATTTTGTTTAAATGATCGGACTCGAACCCGATTTGACAGAAATCGGGGGATTACAGGAGTTCAAATCATATGCGGTAACATCCAATTTGATCATGATAATGAAAGGAGGTAAGAAAGCTTACCTCGCTGACAGCATCCCTGCCAGCCAGAGAGGGGATCCCAAACCAGTAGAGACACCAGAACAGATATAGGCTGTTTTTAATGGCTGCCTCAGCCTGATCAATGAATCCAAATCCTTGAAGTGATAGGTTTGGGTCGGCATCTTTTCTGCCGTAATGTTGGCATCCGAGAGCCATAAAACAGAGGAATAGCATACCTGCAGGAACACAGGTCAATGCAGTCACCACTACCAGAAATAGAAGTGGAGACTGTAATGAATCATTGCCTCCCAGTATCGCCGATGTTAGTGTCCATGTCCAAAGCATTGCGTGTGGTACGAGCGTGACAACAGGCTATATAAAGAGTGCTGTCGACCGGTTGGGCGGGCAAGAAGACTGATGTCACTGGAAGAAACTGCAAGGAAAATATATTGTTATCGCCATGGGGACGAATCTGTCATGAATGCATGAGAAATGTGTTAGGTACGTGGAGGGGCAGGAGTAAGGCGGAATTGAGATGAGGCCATCATCAACTGTGCTGCTACCGATGACTGCCCAAGGTTTCCATGCCCCAAATAGCAGAAGTCCCGACTGATCATGCCAGAGAACAATCTTTAGTTTGGATGTGGACCTCTTGAGTGACCAAAGGAGGAGTTTTTCTTGCGAAAAATACGAAGGCTAGATGGTGGAAGGGTCTGGAATCGTGCTGTGCTGCTCTTTAAATACTTTCTGGCCATGATATGCAGTCACACGTAACAATGTGCGCCGAAGGAATTTGAATATTTGGTCTTTGTATGCCAGATGGCATCGAGATCACTATAGTTCACATATTTAGCACATTCCAGCTCTCGATTCACGCAGAGAAACGTATAACTTGTGAAATTTTAGCGTATAACTTCTCTCCATTCCTAGATGGTGACTCAGCGGAGAGTATGCCTTCTACCCGCATACAAGCCTGGATGACATCATAGTTTCAGACGAAATGAATGAAGTCTCAGACTTTTGTGTGCTTACGAATTGCTAAGGATCAGAACCTCACAGACACCATTCAGAATATCGACGTCGTAACCTTCGAGTTTTTGACTTCGAGTCCACTAAGGCGCACGAATTTCGCTGTTTCACATCAGGTTAAGACCTAGACCCACGACAGTCAGAGCAGAAGGCACGTGTACACCTCCAATGAAACTGGTACAATAGGCCTTGCTGGTGAATATGAATACAGTTTGGAGAAATCACTGGTTCTCTTACTGACAGTTGACTATTAAGGCTATTGAATTCATCACGGAGTGTCTTCATAGTTCTTGAGAATTTAGAAAAATATTTCTACTTATTTTTGTATTCTATTCGTTACAGTTTTATGTTGCAATCAAAAGGTGTACACGTCAGGCAGATGTGACGGTAAGTTGCTTATTGTTTGGTCACCCAAGCTGGTTACTCAAAAAATCTTATCCAAAATTTTCTGAATAGTCTCGCCTGCTTTATATTTAAAGATCCATGTGAAGAAACACACGAGACCTCGAACTTGAAATTTCTCCACTTTGCAAACAACCCTTTCGAGTTCCAAGTAATAAAGCAAAAAAGGGCGGAAGGAAGCATCAAGTCTTGAATTGATGAAGCCGAAGGGATAGTACAGGCTAGGCTCGAAAAGCAACACAAAGTGAAATACCTCGCTGAGAATGTCATAATTATTTGCGTGAAGATGTCTACATGTTACATAAGCCACAAGTAACTTGAATGCTCTCCTTCCCCTTTGTTATGCATATGACAATCGGTATTTGCTGAAATTTTCTAACCAACATGGTAAAGAAGTGATATATAGTTAAGGGTGGCGCTGATTGCATTGATCGAACAATAGAACTGGATAACAACTTTTTTTTTATTATCTAATAGACACTTGGAAAGATAAAAAGATTTGTAAACTAGACTGCCTAGATTTTTGATTTTGACTACAATTTGAAGGGTCTGAGATTGTCCGACAAAAAAAGGTAAAGTGCACATCGCTGAAGAATAATATATATCCAGTCCACTAATATGAATTTTGACTAGTATAGTAGACTTCTCACCGATATCTCTTCAATGATTGAGGTCCAGGTCCATAGCTTCATATGTCTGTACTTACCTTGGTTGCTACTTGTGACCCGAAACTTTCCACCCTTCAGCGTTTGTAATCCAGGTGGAGGTTCGAGCTCCCATAATCTAACTTCAAAGTATTGTGAGTGTATTCAAGACAACGAGATCATAAACACTCGCTCTTCCACAGACAAATTGTCCAAAACTGAAATTAACAAATTGCTGTTTGCTAAGTTCACAAGAGCAGCAGAAAAGCTCTTTGTAACATAAAGATCTATCCCAACTTTGGATGACTTTCTCAATACTACAGCCGCTGTGGGCATATCCTAGAATGAGTGCCACATCTCGGGCACACTGCCTCGGACTAAGTCAGGTGACACACCCGCAGCACAAGGTGACACCCTTTCTAACATCAATCTTCACACCCAGGGAACACGATTCTACTCTCAACACTTTGCTCGATTCTTCCTCTTAGTGATCAACTCACTCTCAGCCCAACGACCCTCTTGGCCTTCACACACACTCTCTCGCTCAGCCCTCCGACGGCACTCTCAGCGACTCCACACTTTCAACACTCTCGCTTTCAAGGATTTCCCCCTCCTATCAGATTCCACCCACAATTTCGAGTATCAGATCTCAGTCTCAAACCCTCAGTTCCCACCTTCGATTTCAGTTCCACTCCCAATTTCTATTCAGATTTCAGTGTCAATTTCTCGGCTTCCACCTTCAGACCCCACCAGGTTTCTCCCTCAAATTTAACTATCACTTTTCAGTTTCAAATTCAGATCCCGACTATCAGATTTCAGTCTCAGATTTCACTTCAACTCCCACTCTCAGAACCTCCACTTTGATTTCAGCTCCCACTCAGAGATTTGACACTTTGATATTAGATCCCGATTAAATTTCACTCTCACATATGACTCTCCACCCTCGAGAGTGTGCTCACTCCTCCTTCAAATTCTCAACACTCCCCTCCTAATTCTCACTACTTCCTTGCGAAAATCACTCACATCCACACTCTATCCCTGCGACCGATCCCACTTGCGTCCACACACACAGGCACACCAGATCTCTGTTCCCAGGCCGAATAATCCTTCTCCAACGTCCAAGGGCCGAGGTGTCCACAGGCCGCTTGAATGTCGTTCCCGTAATGATGGGTAACGGCCTGTTTCCCATGCGCGACTTCATGCCTCGCCGTCCTGCTTCCCACGCTTGACTTCACGCCGCCGCCGCTGCCACACTTGTACATTCTACATTCATGGCCACTCCGACTTCCGCCGGAGAAAATCCTATTCCGCGCACCGCCGAAGTCATCCTACCGCCGAAGGCACTCCACCGCCGAAGACACTCTTTCGCACCTTTGCCTATCTATAACAGTCACTTTCTACACTCATACCTCACTTATTCTTGATCCGTTTGAAACGTTCTTGGGCTCGTTGGAACGAGCGTGTTGAGTTCTTTCCAACAAGACCCTAACTAAGTCAAACCGTTAAGAATTGAACAAGTTATGACGGTTTTACCCTTCCGCCGAATGCCTTGCCCTGAAGGCCTGCTACCGCCGAAGGCCTTGCCCTGAAGGCCTTTCCGCGGAAGGCCCTTCACCTAACCATATCAGCCACTTTAGACGCTCATACCTCAGTGATCCCTCATCCGTTTCAAGAGTTATTGGGCTCGTTTGAACGAGCGTCTTGAGCTCTTTTCAACAAGATTCCAACTGAATCTAAAGCGTTACGAATTGAAAAAGTTATGACGGTTTTACCTTTCCGCCGAAGTCCTTGCCCCGAAAGCCCCCTTCCGCCGAAGGCCCTTCCGCCAAGGCCTGCTACCGCCGAAGGCCTTGCCCCGAAAGCACTTCGCCGAAGGCCCTTCACCTAACCATATCAGAAACATTAGCTACTCATAACTCAGTGATTCCTTATCCGTTTCAAGAGTTTTTGGGCTCGTTGGAACGAGCGTGTCGAGCTCTTTCCAACAAAACCCTAATTGAGTCAAGAAGTTACAAATTGAAAACGTAATGAGGGTTTTACTCTTCCGCCGAAGGCCTGCTACCGCCGAAGATCCTTATCCGCATCTTTGCCTACTAGCCATCACATCAACTCCTAATCTTGCCAAAACTTTGAAAGACTCTAAGCATAATTTTGCAAGAGTTTAAATCCAAAATTTTAACTCTCATAAGGTTAAAAAGACATGCGAGCACATTTTTGTGCTCACACTACTCATACAATAAAGTCTAGAGATTGGGTAGTATAATTCCGAAATAAAACTTGGTATTCACAAATGGATTATTGGCCTTGTCAAAGTCTATTCCTGGGGCATTTACTGTATGCAAGGCAAACACATCTTACTTTGTGAAACCTCCAATCTCTAACGTATCAAAGGTAGCTTTCCACTGCATTTCGAAAAGGCAACAAGTTATATGGACCGTTCTTGAATACGAAACAAGTACCAAACTGTGGGTCCATCAAAGTTCCTTGTAGTGAGCAGTGAGATCTCACAACTTAATTCCTCCCCAGAGCTTGAATGCTCTCTTTTTTATGCTACATGTGTCAATCATGAGAAGTAAAGAACACAACTGCAAAGAGATAAGGAATTGACAGTATAACGAATTCTACATGTGGCCAGCAAGTTCCCAGGAATCATTGTACGATCATCAAAACTGGATTTTATATGGTTAACCTTGCACTAAATAATTTACAGCGATATTTTCTGTAGTTTCAGGGTCGATGTGAAGCTGACCGATGCTATAAAGACAATCGGGAAGTAAAGTAGGATCATTAAAGACGATTAGAGTTTGCCCCATAGTGCACTGTTACAGCATAATCAGGGACTATGGGATGTTACAGCATAACCGAGGATAATCACCATAGTTGTTCCAGACTTGAATGATGTAGAGAATAAGTATAATATATCTCATCAAAGAATATGTGTATGTATTCAGTTCACCGATTGCAACCATGCAACCTACTTGTATGTAGCCACGGAAAAAGTATCACTGATGAACTCATTTATTAGAGTGTTATCTGGTACATATTCTGTGTATAAGTCAGTGATTGAGCTGGAGTCACTGCATCGAATCATTCTATTGACCACATTCAGATCACAATTATTACAACAACTCACTTGTCATGTGGGAACAACGACACTTCTCTTCTACATATTACATCGTACAATGCCATTTAGAAATGAAAAGAGTCAAATACACTCTATTCTCGAAAGACTCCATGTTCATGCATAAGGTAATATCCACTCTCTAGTCTAAACGTCAAATATATATAATTCATAATCCAATTTTACACCTGAGGCCAATCACTAAATTTGGCTCTAGCGCATATTCTAGTGAAATATCCAAAAACTGTTTCTCCTCATGAACGCACTGCACTGAAAGCTCTAAATAAAACGCACACATCCCTTACATACGGCTGCCTACATAAGACGTAACAAAACCTCCGCACGATATGAATGGCATGCGCCGTGTTGTATGTGTCTGAACACTTTCATCATTGCTATCGTGTTCACTACTTCATACTTTTCTAGCCCGCATTCCTTTTGTCAAATATGTAAGAAAAAGGAGCCAAACCAAAGTGCTGATATCTTATTTTAGCACTGCTATCATCCAAAACTCACTTGTGTGCATTTAATAACAACAATACTTGTCCAAACAATATTGTAACTGGAACATGAACGAGCAATTTGGGTAATCTCATCCATAATCTTACCTGAATAAATTTGCCAAATTGGTCATAACATCATCTTTGACCATATTCTTCTAGACATTTGTCTACATATATTCAGTGTGATGTTCATCCATTATCCTATTTAGGTTGATAACTGAGTCAGATAATCTCCTACGAAACGCTTGCTAGATGGATGAGAGATAACAGAATCTATAGGGCTTCTGCTCAAGACACATATACGCCACTGACTACAAATTCGAGTTGTGCCAGTTTGAAAACTGTCGTTCATTACTTTTTCGGTTTGAGTTGCAGCATTCACCAATTTTTAGATATCGGAATTGATATTCAAAACGTCTTGAGCAGCGTTACAAGAAACAAATTTCATTCAGTGTTCGCTAGACTTTATGGTTTTGACAAGCACATAGAGAAGCATAGAAGGAAGACTTGGTTCCAAAAATTTATATACAAGTAAAACGTGTGGATTTGGAGCACGTCCAACCTATGAATCTGTTAGAAAGCCTGCGGGCTCTGCTCTCTCCACTGGGTATCATGGGTAAACGCTAAAAAGACAAGAAATAGTTGTAAGTTTCATGTAGTGTTACTATTCTTGCTTACCAGGTTCCACCAGCTTCAACTCTACTAAACTTGCAATAGACTCCTTCAGTGAATCCTGAAAATCCGTAAACGTTACTCCCAACTCCTGCGCTTTCCTTGTATTGACGCTGTACACTACGGCTTTGGGAGCTTCTCCAGTGACACACCTAAACACAAAGTATAGAGGTGGACAGAATCAGTACAACACCAACATGAGTAAAATTTTTAATTTGAATTTTCTGCTGTGTTCGTCAACGTTTCAACAGCTCACTCTCATGCAGTTCTCTACAAAAGAGTATAGTTCACAGATACTTCTCTACTGCAACTGTTTCACGAGATTCGTAGCCCGGGATTTATGTGGAGCAAATGAATCACCGTCAAACCACAAAAGATAGCAAGTCGTGGTAGAAACAATTCAAGTGAGCTTACTCATTTGGAACTGGATGCCCCGGTTGAAGTTTTTGCAAAATAGTTGAGACCTCGCTGTAATGCACCACCTTCCCGACTAGAATGTACCGTCCTTCTGCAGAGGGCGTCTCAAAGGCAAGTACATGAGCTAAGGCAACATCCCTCACATCCACCCATGATTGTGCCAGATCTGGATATCCCTTCATCTTTCCTGCAGTGGAGTAACGTCTTCCATGATCAGCCTTGTGATTCTCCATCTACCAATCGATGATTACTGATACACAGAGATTCAAGTTGCTCATTGAGCTTCTACAAGCGAAAACTTAGATAAACTCACGCAGCGTCAAAAGCTAAGTTCAGGTTGAGCAGGAAGCGCAACAAATGGGCATGGCAAGCTTTCGGTTTACCGTTGAGCATGTCAAGTACTATCTCACTGCTGGTGTTGAGGGTTTTCTGCAGCATGGGACCTAACACCATGCATGGGTTTACTACCACCAAGTCAAAGTCTTCGGCATGCTCCTTCACATAATCCCAAGCAGCTAGCTCGGCCAAAATTTTTGATAGAGGGTACCAAATCTGTGCAAATCATGAATTTCGTCAATAATTCGCTTCAGACTCCGTGCATCTGGAGGAGAACATTCTTTACAGTAAGCCTGTCACAATCGTCACCGTGGCTCGTAGTGTCAACAATAACTCTTATTCCAAACATGTGTAAGGCTTGTCTCAGGGGCATACCACTCTCTAAATCCTTTTGATAATATCGCAAGCTGTGAAAGAATGTGATTCAAGATGTATTGCTCACCAGCCTTAGAGGTTCCTAAATTACCTTGTTGTCCCGGCAGAACTGTGGATCACTGAACCAACTCTCGTCCAGAACAGTTGAAGATTTAAGTTCTCTCCCGTTGTGCATCACCGACGCTGTTGATGAAGTAAGGACTACACGTTTTGCGCTCTTACATCGTGAGACACTTCTTAGAACATTCAGCGTTCCTTGCAAGGCCGGGCCTACTAGTTGCACCTGAAAAAGCCCATCAGTGGAGATTAAAGTTTACCTCCACGTTCCGTTCTTCGTAGCCATACTTTCGCCTCGAGTCAATCGTGTGAGCACGATCACAACGTCCAGAACACTGCGACGATCTTGAAGGCGACAGAATTTCCATATATGCACCAATTTCAACAACTGCGAAAGGACGAAACCGAAACTCACGACACGCAGCACTTGCGAAATTGGCCATTCAAATCCTTCACATGAGTTCAGCGTTTAGCTTTGATATGCACCTCTGGATCGGTGATCCCTGTTAGAAAGAATGGAGATGCAGTGTGGAAGACCCCGTCAGCGCCCTCAACTACTTCATCAAAGGCACCTTCCTGCAGAAGTTCCGCTTTGTGAAGGGAAAGCCTTTCCTTGGCACCAGGCAGTTCCAGCAGATGACCTACTTTTTCAACATTTTCTGCAAGCGGGAAGCAGAGTGTTACAGCCTGCAACTTGCAATTAGATTCAAAGTTAGATTCAGGACACGAAGGAGAACCCTCGTGATCACTTCTATGTTACTGGGCTTACGTCCTCCTGACCGTCCGGCTCATTCGTCTGCAACCTACGTCAGAAACCCTTCGCCATTCACGTCCATGTGTCGATATTGCAATCTGCAGCTGCAAAATGCTCTCGAAGACTGCAGAAAGACGAATCCAAATGCGTAGATCACGAGCAGCAAAATCGAGGGATGCCAACCAACCTGGGCTGCGAACAGTTCCTCTCACTGTGTAGCCACGCTCCAAGAGTAATTTGACCAGCCAGGATGCAATGAAGCCATTTGCTCCCGTCACGACCACGGTCTTGCCCGCCATTGCAAAGCTCCTCTGCTCGACTTGAATCTCCTTCTGTTCGATGATCCTCAACCCCTGTTTGCCAAATCGCAGCTAGCCCCACCTCCAACGAACGATCTCAGCGTCGAGCAACAAATCTGTGGGCCGCTTTCTAGCCAGAGGCAGGAGTGAAGACCAACTCTTCCGAGTTCTGCTACTGCTCTTCTCCTCCTCCTCTGAGATTTGGCACGATGCGGGCATTTGTAGTGCCATGTGGCCGCAATCGAGAGGTAGCCGCAGGAGCTTTGGGAGTCGGTCCATTTCCCCATTGGAGTGAGTCACCGAGCTCAGCTGTGGACCTCTGTTAGCACCCTTGCTTGAAACGCCAGGTTTATTCGCCTGGAGGCTCATGCGCCAACAATTCTCCTGTGCCAAAAGTAATGTTGGACTGCGGAATAAAGCGCCACAGGTGCACCGCACCTCTGGCGCTTTAGCCCCCATTGGCAACTCCTTGTAGAACTCCTTCCATGTAGATATGGAGCTCAGGAGCAGATGCATGCACTGCGCTCCTGAGCTCGAGGGTGCATCTCGGGTCGTGTGGTCCCCCGTTCTCCTTGGAACTGCTTTGCATGTCCGGACATCTCCTGTCGCTCTCGTGACGTCACATGATGATTCTACAGCGAGACGTGTTCTTCAGAATATTAGTTTAATCTCTTTCCCTTCCTGCTGCTCTCGGTGGCTGTGCAGATCGGATCTGACCGTCTAATAATTATGTGTTGTCGAGTGAGTTGGAACAGCGCACTTGTCGTCGACATGTCTACATTCTGATATAAGAATAACTTTCCTGTACCGAGAGAAGGTCGACTGCTGCTGATATATCAGTGGAGGAATGCACAGTCTTTCTGGATCGATGCTCAGAATTCAGGCAGTTTTCCATTCAGACGTATCTTCTGAGGAATCAAAATCTTTCATCTTGGCCCGAGTTTTGCTCGCATGCGTGGCTCCTGAAGTCTGTTTTTGGCGCGTCAGCTGTGATTCAAGCAAGCATCGATGGAGCACAGGGGTTTCATCGCCACACTGCTCCGGGCCATTCGAAGGCAAACAGTTGCCATGGTGCCAGGATGTAGTATGGGGATGTTGGCCAGCTAGATCAGCTCCTCCAGCTGGTTGAGGAAGCTCTGCTCAAGTTTTCTTTCAAAAAGAATAATTCCAACAAGTCCTACGTCGCCACCTCCTGGCTCCCCTTACATTGCTGCTAACATTCCATTCCCTACATTCTGACTCCACGACAGAACAATGGAGCTGTGCTTGAGGAGGGCGATTTTTCGAGTACTTGGCCTTGATGAAAAATCAACCCTTCGCATGTCCTCCTCAGCCATCGACCTTACCTCAGCAGAGCACTTTGATCGTCACCTTGATCGACGAATGGCATGCAGGTAAATGGAGATGAAAATTCCAGTGCACGACTTACTGCCGAATTCCTACCCTGCACGACAGTACGACAAAGCCATACACAGTTGAGGGGACAGGATTCCATGGCTGCTGTTGACTCTGAGGGTTTGACGAATGATGAATATGATGCTCGATTCCTTCATTCGCGCGATGCGGATCATTGCGTGTGCGCGGAAGCCGGAGATTCGTTGAGCATTGACTTTACCACCCACTTTACTACTTTAGTGCATACTGTGACTGGGAATCAGATTGCATACACTCTCAATTTTATTTTACCAAAATTGTGGAAAAGGAAGAGGCAGTCTTCATGGAATCATGGAGCAGGCCAAACGTACATGATAGGACGAGACGTGCTAGATCTACGTTGAAGGTATACACTTAGCTCCTTCAAGCTTGGAGGCCCTCGGCCTCCTCCGGTTGAATTCCGCGTACTCTGTGTTTGTTGATTGTCCATTCCATGCGACATCAGATCTTGATTGAGTTTACGACGACGACGATGTCGTAGTTTCTTATCAGCGTCAGGAGCCAACAAGAACCACGATCCATTCAATTGACTGTAGTGAACTGGATGCCCAATTCACCTATCAGCTGCGGCCCACATACCAAGCACTGTAGCTTTCGATCGACAGAGTGTCATCGTTGAGGAAACTTAGTTGCTGCTGTAAATGATCCTTGCTTGCAGTGATGATTTGCAACTGTCAGTGGTACGCTGAAATCTGCGAGACTTTCACCGCGTTTCCAGTCGTGTCACGGACATCGAGAGATCATAGACGCCATAGCGCACCACTCGGTACCATAGAGTAGATCAATTTATCATTTGATTGATCTACTCTGAGTGCATGAACTGAAGTCTGTAGATCAGGATCCATGAAAAGAGTTCATAGGCCTAAGAGGCACCATACTTTTAATTTCGAGCCGCTGCCTCTTCCTTCAAATCCTCCACTTTACTTCACTCTAAGTGACAGGCTTTGGCGTTACAATGAGTCTGTAAATCAGATTCGTAGCTGGTTCGGGATCGAATCTTCTATCCGGGAAACACTAAGAAATTTGTTTCGTTGATCTACGTGATAATCAATTTTCCATTTGGTCCAAGATAATGACAGCGCACATACTCTGTTCTAGTGCTTATAATTCCAAGTCCGTCGTGAAAAATGTATCAGTATTGGCTTCCTTTCAAACTCGTTTCAGAAAAACATTCTCAGTCCTGCCTACGCACCTTATCACGCAAGACTAAAGCCAGGGCGTGTGTAAAGTCATAAACACCTGCAAGGTTTCCGAATAAGCCCGAGTATCAGCGCTCTGCTGTAAGGCTTCTCGTGAAATATTCACTCTTGGAAGGATTTGACGTAGGTACAGAGGGTAGTGAGGCCACTTCAACCACGAATTAGAATCACCTCCATCATCGCTTGAATCCTCGTCCAAACCTCCATCAAATTTAACAGGAAGCAAGTCTGCATAAACACAGAGCCATCGGTTGAACTGAGAACAATGCACCTAAGCTTGTACGGCACAATATATCACTTTGCAATCGACATTATAGATCATTTTTATGGATGTCTTCTTACAGTAAGGACTCGTCCAACTTAACTTAAAGCAAGGATCTGAATAGGAAAGGTGGGAATCTGAACCTTCAAGCGAGAGCATATTTGCTGCTAGGTAGAATGCGGTGGGAACCCCTCAATGGAAACACACACCATTTACCCGAGTAATTTCTTCTACATCTATTTGTAAAACTTTGTCGACATTGGTTTGAATATGAATTTAAATCTTTTAGATTTAAATTCATATTAGATTTAGATCTCTTAGATGCATCATAGGTTGGAAATTATTTTAAGCCGAAATAACTAGACAATTATGCGAATCAACATCGGATCAAAGCGATAACAAAATGGAATACCAAATGAATTTTGAAATAACCACTTATCTCTACTGCTTTGCTATGTATCAATAATTCGAGAAATTCTTGAAAAGTAGTGTTGATTATTCCATTACTTTTTTGCAAAAAAATTCTAACTATCTAAGTTTTATCATAAAAAATCAAACCAATAAAAAAAATTCGTTTCGAATATTTGTTGTTATTTTTCTTTATTTTACAGATATTACACTGAATAAGAATTATGAAAAGAAATACTTCTATCATCAATACAATCCTGTTTTGCATTGAATACAAACATTTATCTTCTCAACTTATATTGAAATATCAATTCAATATCAATGAACAATAAAACTAATGATTCGTTAGATACCACAATGCTTCAAATATGATTAAAACGACACTGATCAATAGATCATATTATTGTTGTGACAATTGAATCAATCAAAATTTATCCAATTTTTAATACAAATGTTCATACCGGTGAATACGTATATTTGATAATGTTCATTGAAAAATATTTTATGGAAGCTCCCGACTATGAAATGGAAATTTTTTTGAGTAACTTTAAAAAAGATAATTTCTAAGCATTCAAACAATTATTTCTATGAGGATTTCATTAGGATGTATGTAAAAATTATCCTTAAATCTAGAGGAATTCCTTGACGAATTGCCCATCGTCAATCCTGACGAACCCAGTCTTCATGACGAGATCTATATGGTGCGCAGTACACCAGACCCGTAGGACATCATTAGTTGCCTGTTGCTCGAGGAGAATGATGACTCCACCGCAACAGCCTGTCATGATGTTCTCGCCATTTGAAGAGAGGCCGATCAACTTATTGCGCCAGCTGGAATTGATAACGTCCATGACCTTTATGATCTGATTGACCTGGTTAACAGCGATGTGCCGGTCGAACATGGAAATGGCTAGCAAATGCAGCTTGACGAGGAGGCCATCCACTTCCAGACGCAGACGTTGATCCATGAATGAAATACCCGTGTGAGTGCTCGTGTCGCACGAGAAGACCAACATCGACGGATTTTTCATCAGATCGCTGAAATGCTGCATGGCAACCGCAATGAGAATACGGACGTAGCCGCTGACCAAAGCATCGGTCACTTCAGTCAATTTTGCGTTCTTGATGAGCTTTTGATGTTGTTGAATGATGGTGGCGGTCTGCCTAAACTACAGCCTGGCTGATGTGTGCTGAATCACAAGCTGATATCCAAGTGGCGTCTTGATCGTGACGTTGAAGCTGCCGTACTCCTGATGCGGAAACAGCTTCAATGCTGTTTCGGCCAAGATTGTTTTGTCCTCGGAGTTGAAGTACAACTCGCCAATCAGAATTTTGACAATCTGCGCACTTATGGTATATATTAGTGTGGAGCTCGCGTCGTCGAAGGAGAACAACGTGTCCTTGAACTTCGGCCGCTTGTTGAAGAACACTCTCTTGTCCTCCAACAAGATTGCCTTGTACTACGTCCACTTGCTCACGTGAGCTTTTCTGCGATGGATTTGATAGTTGTCTGGTCGGTAAGGTGATGCAAAGAGTTTGATGTTCTAGTTACACTTGCGTTTGGCACCCGGAACTTACTCCCGGTTATGGAAATGGCAGAATTGGCACTGTTAACGACACCGTTTGCATCCCTAGACACCACTTGCAGGCCATACTCGACTTCATACTTTGCTTGGAACGGTGTGCCGCGAGCTTTCGTGTTCGCGAGTACCTTGTTGACTGACATCACCATCCAGGCGAAGTGACATGTGTATGCGTATACACTTTAAAACATAAACTCTACACTCACTCATTTTCGTGGTTTTATTTTCGGCGTACTCGGCACCGTTAAATTCGGCATTTAAGGGGCCGTTGCCGAATTTAAAGAGGTCTGAACTACAGAGTTAAACCTCCCGATAGTGACGCATAACCGTTCTAGGGTTTTATGTCACTATTCGGAGGTGTCACTCACAAGAGGATGTCATATTTTTTCCCGCGTTATTTGCGTTTGCTGGGCTCCTCTTTCTCTCTCGCTGAGATCTGTCACAGTGCGTTCGGTGAGGGCTTCTTTCTCTCTCGCTGCGATCTGTCACTGTTATTATGCATTAGGTGGCCAATTTTTTCTCTCACGACGCAATCTGTTCCTGTTCGGTGGGAGTTTTTTTT